TACTGATTACTAACTACTATGGGTACTACTGATTACTAACTAGCATGATGATGCTTGAAGCCCCAGCACCACAGAGTGAGCAAGTAAGCTATAGGGAGAGATAGGAAGGCAGGGCTTCTCTGTAAAACAGTCCTTGTAGCGCCTGCACTATGGGACGGTGAGCGAGCTGGGAACCAAGCTGGAGACTTAACACACGCACACACAGACAGACACGGGGACATGGGTCATCCTTGATACAAGAGTGCCCAGTTCACTGTGCTCAGGGGAAGCTTATATAGGGATCCTTAACTGATAGCCATGCCCCAGCTCTTGGAATCTTTCAGCTGTAGGCCTCATCAGAACCCACTCCCCTGCCATCAAGGTCTTGTGCTCAAAGCACCTGCAAGCAGAGGTGCTTTGCTCAGTTCACTCCAGCAGGCAAAGGATCTGAGACAGGCAAAGAAAGTCAAAGGGCCGGGGATCTGCAGCTCCCAACAAGTTCTGGCTATCCTAAGATCCACCTGCCTCAGCCTCTTAGTGCTGGGATTAAAGGCATGTGCCACCACCACCTGGCTTGGTTGGCTATTTATTTATTTAAATCAACCTGACATTAAGTTAGTCATCTGAGAATTGGAACCTCAATTGATGGGCAATGCTATAGGGTAAGACTATGAGCATTTTCTTGATCATTGATTAATGAGGGAGACCCTAGCCCACTATGGGCAGTACCACCCATGGGCAAGTGGTCCTGGGATGTATAAGAAAGCAGCTTTGCAAGCCATATAAATCAAGCCAGTAAGCAGCATTCCTCCTCAGTTTCTGCTTCATCTCCTGCCTCCAGGCTCCTGCCTTGGCTTCCTTAGATGACAGACTGTATAATCTGTAGCCAAATAAACCCTTTCCTCTCCTAGTTGATTTTGGTCATGCATGGTCTTTATCACAGCAACAAAAGGTAAACTAGGGCAGGTGGTGTACTGGGTTCATCTGCTTTATATATAAAGAAATGAATACCCAGTTCCTAGCACAAGGCTGTGAAACGGTAATGTCTAGAGCTGGAGTGACACCTATGTATAGCACACAAGAGCAGGCCCTGGCTAGTGTAGAGGTGCAACTGGCAGATTCAGCAGAAAAACAATGGACAAATGCAAACAGTACGAGGCTGGGGCGGGGATTAGGGTCACTATGTATTGATGCTGTTACTTCCTGGAACTAACTCACTCTGTAGACCAGGCTGGTCTCAAACTCACAGAGAATCACCTGTCTCTGTCTCCCAAGTGCTGGGATTAAAGGCATGTGCACCAACACCAGCACTTTGAAGAATTTCTGAGTACTCTTTCCTTTTTTCTTTTTGGTTTTTTGAGACAGGGTCTTTCTGTGTTGCCCTAGCTGTCCTGGAACTGACTATGTAGACCAGGAGAATACTATAGATAATATGGCAAGAGGCAGGGGACCAGACAGCTGATGGATGCTATGACCCTTGCCAAGACATCTCACTGAACTCATCATGTGTTAAGAGGAGAAAGCCGGGTATGGCTGCTTGTCACCCTAGGAGATGCTTTCAAAAGCTCCAGGCTATTGGACACAGAGTAAGTTTGAGGCCAGTCTGAGGTACAGATGGAGTCTGTCAGGAGAGGAAAGGAATAAATGAGGATACTGAAAGGACCAGAGCTGGCACAGGGCACAGCAAGATCAAGTTCTCAGCACAAAGATTTATTTGCCCCAGAGAGACAAAGACAGGGGAGAGGGGAGGAAAGGGGCAAAGAAGAAGGGAAGAAGGGATATTTGTCCCAGAGGGACAAAGGACTGCCTCTGGATAGAGGAGACAGATCCATAGGCAAATGGGAGTTTATAAAAGGAAAAGGAAACAGTGTTAGGATGAGTTTGTTTGTTCTGATTGGGCATGTTAATTAGGGCAGCCAAAAGGGGGCCTTTTTTGAGGGGTGGGGTTTCAAGACAGGATTTCTCTGAGTAGTCCTGGCTGTCCTGGAATTCAATCTTGGAGATCTGTCTGTCTCTGCCTCCTGAGTGCTGGGATAAAAGGCATGCGCCGCTGCTGCCTGACCAAAGGGGGGCTTTCCATTGCTGGACTTCAATACTTTTTTTTTTTTTTTTTT